CAATCAGGTAATGTCTGTCAAATCAATTTTTTTTCTTTTAATATATTCCATATTATACTTCCAATGTGATAACCTCATGTTTGCTGAGAAATGTTCGAAATGTAAATCGCCTTCTGTTAGGCCTAAAATAAAATTTCACTATATACTACCCAATCATTTTTGTTAGATATTGGTCGAAGATCACATGCATAAATGTTAATTTCATTGGGAGTGAGTAGCCATTGTGTATCGATAAACTATGCTCACGTACAGTAATGTAACAATAGCAATCACTTTTAATCCATTATACTGAATATTTTCATTTCAGTTGCTGTATTGCATTGTGGAAAATAATTAATTTATGCAAAGCTGTTGCATCATTTCTTGTACAGTTTCATCTCCTTTCGCTACAATTTTTCAAACTTTTAAAACTGAGGGGATATTAGCCAGAGGGTAAAACTATATTAGTTTGTAACTTGTAATTAGTACTTTTAATTAATATATGCTGAATAATATCATGAAATCTTTACTTCGGACTCCATATCTATCTCATAGCGTAGTTCAAAATTTGTTGCGAGTGTTCATCTGGCTAAATTCGAGTATTTTTTTTTTTTGTTAGATGCGTTATACAAATTTATTCGTCATAATATTGGAATAGATTTAATGTTGAGATAAGTTTGATAAAAATTAAGAATTTCAATTTTTCTGTTTCATTTTTTTGCTTTCCCAAATAAAGGCAGTGAACATATTTCTGAGGGAAAGAATGATGAAATCGTTTCAAGCACAAAATAATTTAATCAAAAATTAAAAAAAAAATTAAAAAATTTAACCAAAAATTTTTAAAATAATTTAACCGAAAATTTCTATAAATTTTAAACTTCAAGGCTTAAAATTTCTAAATTTTGTTGGATTTTATCGCTACAATATGCTATAACGATTTATTTATAATGGATAATAGAACATTTTGAAAAATATTCAGCTTCTTCCTGTACGCTCCAAAGTACCAGTTTTTAACATATATGCAGGTTTGTAACCAACAACCGAACCATCATCAGCAATGATCTTCAATGCATCATTCTTACGAGTTGTATCACGACCTCCAAGGGATGTGTAGCCTAAGTCATACAGAGGACAATATGGTATGCAAATACCACGTAGCGCTCGCCACACGTCATTATAGCTCCAATCCAAAATTGGACAAACCCTGCAGGCAATTTCCTTTTTTTTCTTAAATAATAATTGTAGCCAAAAGTCATTAAAAGTTTCAGCAAATCTTGCGTCATTAAAAAGTCCCTACCTAACCTTTGTTCTGCTTCAGATTAGAATTGCTGCTCGAGTTAATGCGAAAACGTAGCCTAGATCACAGTTTCGAACGAATATACCCCCCTCATTTTTATGATTATAAACATTTAGTACTATAAGCCGAAAATACTAACCTCAAGTAATGTGGCCAGCCAGCGTCTGTGAATTGACATTTGGATTTCATAGGTGATAAACAAGGATCGGTTGCGCGGCAACCCATAAATATACATTTTAATTTTGGCCTCATATTTCCTAATTGTACGAGACCTTCTCTTACGGGTCCTGATGTTTCCAGTACTATAACGTTGTATCTAAAAATATGCAGTCGATGTCACTTCATCTTTCCTGAATTATGCACAGAACTGCTATTCAGCAAAGCCAAACAAATATTTTCCCATTTATAATCCTTTTAAAGAAGTATTAACCGGCTATCTCTAAATATGACATATTCAGAGCTTTGTCAGAAGGTATAACTGTATATTACGGGCTGGTAAAAAAATAAGATAACAAACCGTTTAGTGGTGTCAATAATGAACTGATTCATTTCTGGGAAGCTGTCACCACACACTATGTGGAAGCCGAGTATCGTCTGCCCCGATCCATATTTCCTGCAATTTATGTCAGTTCCCTTATTATCATAGTAATTACCAAGTTTAATTGGTAATTCTGTATAACATAACTTCCAAGAATCGGAGACGCTTCAGACCACCGGTGAATGCAAATTTGCACCTCTACCTCCCTCAAAAAATCTTATGTCTTCACCCGTCAGAGCATTTTGTGTCATTTGTAGTTCAATATACTACTGCAATACAAAAATTCTGATCTGGTAAGAATTCCTGTTCTTGAAAGGGTGAAATTATTCTTCTACAATAGAAAGGTTCTACTAAGTCTTTTTGAAAAGACTAACTTGTCGATAGCAGTTTTTAGAAGATGTAGGACAAGGGTGCAGTCTTTACCACCATTGAATGATATGGCTATTTCATCCAGTCTGCAAATATTCATCTATTCTTTTGCAAATATATACTTTAATAGAAACTTTTGCTTATCTCCACAAATCGCCACCAATTAAATCCTGAGTTACTAAACTTTCAGATCGGTCAGTATAAGGGTATGCATGGCAGACCTAACTGTACCTATCCTACAAAAGGTTCTGTATTCGAAGTTTTATTAAGAGAACATACTAACAGATTAAGAGAAATTATTTCGTCGATACAGCTCATAGCATCATCCAATCGACTCAGAAAACCATCATCTAAGCCACTGGCCAATTCTCTTTGCCGAAAAGCGTTGAACTTTTGTACCGTATCTACCCAAGGTTGTTCATCAAAGTATGTCATCTGATCTAAACAGATAACATTAAGTATCACATGAAACCAGATGAGGATTAAACTTGGTTCAAAATTCTGCTAAACATAAAAATTCGCTCAGAAATCTAGAACTCATATATCAACTACTGCTGAACAATACAGCGACAACAATCAATAAATGATAGGTAACCTTTCAAAGAAGCTTTCAAATCCTGTACAACTTTCTCACCAATATCTGCGCATTCACTTTCGACCAGTAATTTCGTCTTGTAATATCTGGAATGAAAGGAGAACGGAAATGTAAAAATAAAAAAGAGGATATAAGTTATGCGATATTGAAGCAATACTTCAATCTCTTTAAATATTAAAGGTGCTACTCATATAGTTGTTTCATTGCACAGTTCTATGAAAACTCCAAGCTGTTCAAAATTATTCTTGTTATCAGTCTTGAGAACCAAATTAAAATATTTATGCCAAGAAAAGATGCCCATTCTCCCAACAGCAATACCAATGATATCTTAGAAAGAGATACTTACTGATTGTTTCTTGCCGGATATGAACCAATCGAAACTTTCATTGAGTTGTATTTCTTCACCACTTCCATTACTAAATCCGAAAACTGTAATTCCGCAGTCTTTATATGAAGAATGCATGAATAAAATGGTTTTACTGCATGGGATGGAAATATCGATTTCTGAAAAAAAATACATTACCATAAGACAATTTTTCAACCGTATTTCAACTCTCCAGTCTGTAAAAAACATTTTATGATGATCTACCTGGTTTACCGCTACGTTATCCGCCAGGAGAAGGTATTAGTCAAGGACGATAATATGGAAGGCATGTTGCACAGTATTGCATCAGCTTTTCCCAAAAATAATTTGACCAGAAAAAAATTCTCCCATATATAGCACATAAAGATCGGAAAAAAGGTCTTTTCTTCTAATGATAAGAATCTCAAGATCATTAATCTAGCGATTCAGAAGTATAACATCTATTGAGATGATATGGTAAGGAAAACAGTACCTTTCCCATCTTTCAATCCCAACCAACAATAATATGATCATATGCTATAAATTTGAAAAAAGCGATAAATGGAACAGAAAAAAAAGGAAAGCAAAAGGAAAAGGAAGCAAAAAAGCAGCAACGATGTTTTAGTAAGCTGTATGACGTAACACCTTCATGCTTATGAATCACATAAATAGACGAAAGGATTGAAATAAAAACAATTAAATTTAAAGCAAAAATATAAATTATAGTAAAAGCTGAAGAACAGTGTAGAATTTAATGCAGAAACAGGCCATTCGAACAATACAAAAAAACGGTGTTATACAAAAGAACTGACATTCTTTTCACTTCGGTGTGATTCACTTCAGTGGACTTTTTATTTTCTATTTTTTGGTTTCTGACGGGAACAAAATTTTTCCCTTCTGTTTAGTATAACGTACTCATTACTTTGATAGTGATACAGCTCTTTTATCAGTAACTTAGTCCATTAGACGTAGCTCCAACCATATTTAAGCTGGCATGTTAATTCCTTATTAAATTCGTTTAATTTCTTAAAAAAATCAAAAGAAAGACAAAATTCTTTGCACTACCGAACTGCTAGTAAAGATCTAACGGAAGACATAAGCAGGCATTTCGATACAATATATAAATGTTGCACGACTGTTCGTCGCGGAAAAAGTGTTTTAAAAATTTCACTTACTTCATATTCTTTCAGCGCTTCAGTACAGAACTCCGGGATACCGGGAAAAGCATAAACATTCCGCATCTGCACCAATGGAAAGACTGTTCGTTTACCCCATAATAACTGAGCGCTTTTTGGTATCTGAAAAAAGTTATATTTTAATCACAATTAATCAGTGCTACCAATATATTTACCTTGTTTTATAAGCAAAAAGATCAATTAATAAAAGTTTAATTACAGTGGACATTAAAATAACCTCGTATGATGAAATCTTAGTTTACAGATACATCAAAAGCAACAGCTCAAACTATATTTTACGAGAATTTAACCTATACGGATAATTTGGCGAAAAATCCTCAATTAATAAATAGAAGAGTTTACAGTACACATCCGCTGCAGACCACCATCAGGTATGAATTTGTTCACACTACGCATAAAATGTTCGATCAATTCCATCATCTCCTCTCTTGGTTTTAATTCATCATTAAATGCCAGTGCCAATCCTGAAAATAACTTTCTTTTTTTAATATATTCCTCTGAAAATTTCAGGAAAAACTTCAGTACTGCATATTTATTTCCAACATCGGCATTCACCATTATCTAACGGACATGAATTACATTTCAAAGCACTGATTTACAATTCAAGTTTCAATACATTGCATATAATAACAAACCATGCACGCTTCAGGATATTTCAAAATCAAATCAAATAAATCGATGAATGAGTCATAACAAAGAGTCACATCCAATGTTTTAAAGCGCAAATATAAACATTTCACAAGTTATTTCTACATAAATCAGAATAAGGAGATACCACGGTAAGTTCGATCATCATGTGTAGGTCCAACACCACCAGAGCTGAAGACAATATCGTAACGTTCACTAAACTGTTTCACTTCACATGCAATATCATCGATATTATCAGACACTATTGATATCTGTAGTAGAACGTTATCCTTTTCGCAGTGAATCGAAAATTCCAAAAAAGTTAGTTGAAAGGTTTTATGAAGAACTACAAATAGATCATAGCCATACCGACCTTGTTTGCTCGTCTGCTTTTTTTCAAGATTTTTTTTTGGAAATGATTAAATTGTCAGAAATTTTCATTTTCCATAACGGTAATACCTCCGCAAAGGACTTATATCAATCAATCAATCTAGCCGGCCGTAGATGAACAAATAGTAAACAAAACTATTTTAGAAATCACCTAATTGAGTTTGGAGTTACTAAATACTATTTAATCCATAACACTTTTAGGAGCTCAAAAAGCTTCCTTGCTTATTACGCCACTAACACGCCTAATGAACAAGTAAATCTGAAAACAGAAAAACTAATAAATGAATTAATGAATAAAAGTCTGAATGAAAAGCAAAGACTAATCGAAACCTGAACAAATAAATTAATGAAGACATAGATAAATATGGATGAGTAAATTTTTAATTTCCATCTTGAAACCAATCATTTTATATACTCAACTGCATTTTTATTCAGGACAATGAAAACGTGTTACAGTGTAACGCTATTACTATATACCTTTTTCAGCAGAATTCCTCGACCATACAATTCCTTGCAGAAAAAATTCGAATTCACATCATTTGTTACACCTTTCAAAATTTCATCACCAATTACTGAAAACATACTTTGTAAATGAATCGAGCACTGTATTTATTGCGTAAGAAGAAGAAGAAGAGATATCATTAATCCTATATAATATAACATAATATACAACATAATGTATAATATAGTAATATATATAAACTAATAATATAATATAATATAATATAATAT